TATAGATTATACATTGTACATAAGTCAGCCAAAGAAAATTTCTTGTCATGTGTTTGAGCAGGTAAGATACACATCACATGTCTTGTAGTTCTTTCAGGTTTATTTATTTATTTTTTTTAATGTCTGTAGTCAAAATTTCAGGGGGTCTTCCTTGATCAGATCTGATCATCTTTAATTTTGAATGAATCCATAGCCTCTTATTTCCTGTAGAAACAAAAACATAACCTCTCCCCCAAAGTGGCATACCTTTGACTTAAATTTTGGAGTCAAGATATTTTTTAAACAGTTAGGTTGGTTTAATTTAGCAGCTTTTATAATCAAGTGTCTCATAGCAGTCAAAACTTTTAAAGATAACACAATAATACATAATTCAGACTTTCTGTGTATTTTCCATCCTCAAGTGGCTTGTTTTCTTTGTATTACTTTACTCCCCTTTCTAAGGACTTTATTTTACTATTTTAAATCTATATTTTAATTTAAGGCTGTATCTATATATATTATGTATATGTATATATATATTTTTTTTTCCTCTTTTTTCTCTCAAGCCCAAGCACATCTTTTAAACACACCATGACCCATTTAGAGGCCTTTCTATGTGAATCTGTTTTTAGTGTGTTTCTTAGCCCTGTTTTCTATATGAACAAAAGCTAAATCTGCCCCACAGCATGCTGCCAAAACTTGTGCTGATAGCTTAAGCATGCAGGCATTGGCTGGGAGAAGCCTCTCGGTGCTGTGGCCCCTGTGAGAAGCCCCTGCAGAAACCAAGCACATGGCTTGGCTCATGGTAGTAGTTGGTGGCCAGCTCCATTTCCCAGGCACCACAGCTGGCATGAGAGACTAGGAAGCCCACTGTGGCTCTGTTTTATTTTTTTTTAAAGCTTTCTCAGATTTTATGTGGATGTATGGGCAGCACGTTGAGCACCAAATGTAAATGGAGACTTTTCTCTGTCCTGCCCCTTCCTGTAGCCATTTCCAAATAATCACTCAGAGGCTTAATGTTACTTATAAATGTTTGGCCAGTGGATCAGGCTTATTGCTAGCTAGGTCCTACAATTAAATTAACCCAGTTGTATTAATCTATATATTGTTACATGGCCCTGGCCTTTACTAGTCTGCTGACATGTTGTTCCTTGGGCAGCTAGATGGTATCTCCCAGACTCTGCCCTCCTTCTTCTTTATCTCTGCTTGGATTTTTTACCTGGTCCTATCCTGCCTTACCATAGGGCAAAGCAGCTTTATTTGCCAACTAATGAGAACAACAGATATTCACAGCATACACAAGGATGTCTCACATCACTCCCTTCTCCTCTCTCTTCCCTTTTTTCTCCATGCCCCCACTCTTCTTTCCTGCATTCTTCTATTTGAAAAAGATATGTAATGTACAAACAGGCACAAAAATAGAACAAAAAAACATCTGAATTTCCAATATCCAAAACAAGTACCTGTCTATTTGGTCAGATTTGCTCTCAGAATTCTGTTTTGTTTTCTTTCCCTTTTCTCGTCACAGAGCTGGTTGATAGGATGAGACCCAACCATCCTGGCATTTTCTCCACTCTCGGCTCTATGACGCATTCACTTCCTGCCAAACCCCCATGCTGTGAAAATGGGGTGTGTCCCTGAACAGTTCATTCTTTGTATTTTCACACATGTATATGCACATCCACAAGATACATGTGACTGTATTTGTGTGCTTCAAGTTTTTCTTTGTTGTTGCTTAATGATTATTTATGAAGAGAAATGTGTGTACTCATGTATGTGTATAGAACCAGCTGATTTCTGTTAAGGGCTGTGCACTGTTCCATGGTACACGTGAAGCAGACTTCCCTGATTCATTCCCTTTTCAGGGTGAGCTTTTAGGTCATTCCTAAGTTGTGTGATACTAAAACAAGTATAAAGATACTCTTCCTAGCATGTGCCTCCTCCTCATATGCATGTTCATTGAGCCCTGCACATCTATCTGCCTGGTAGAATCAGTATGGATAGACTATGCAGTGATGCTTTTGACAAGTACAATAAAAGCTCTCACTAGAGTAATGTACCTGTTCATGATTCTGCCAGGAGTAATCGGAATATTACATTATTTTCCTCACATCTTGAACAACATTGAATTTTGCCAGGCCTTTTCATGTTAACTACTTGGATGGAAGGAAAATGAAATCTTATTATTTTAATTTCCCTTTTCTTCCTGACCAGTGACTGATCTTCTTACAGTCATGATCCACTGTCCTTTCTTCTTTGAATAACCCCCATTCTTCTGTTGTGCTCTGCTGTCTATTTTTTTTTTTTAACTTTTGGAGGTTTCTTATATGTTCTGATTTCTTGTTCCCTGTCTGCCAAATGTGTGCCCTGTGTCCACTAAGGCATGACTGGCTCACAGGAAGGTCACTCTTCAGATGCTGAGATTGTCTTACTATCTAGTTTAGTCCTCTGCATTATCGAGAAGTCAGGCGTAAACCTCTGCTTCCAGGGTGTTGCCAGTGCTTTGGATCTGCTGTCTGGTCCCCACTGTCTCCACACAGATTGGCTGCAGTTTTCTTCTTCAGGTTTCCTAGAAAGGTGACTTAGTGATCTTATCTCCAGTTTATTCTCACCAAAGAGCCAGAGAGACCTTACAACAATGCAAGTCAGCTCTTGGTTTACCTCACTCAGAACCCTACTTCACGCCTTGCAGTAAATAAAAGCTTGGGTGACAGCAGGGGTCTGGACCCCAGCTGCTGGACCTTGCTTCCTCATCCCGCCTCTCTTGCCTCACGGTAGCTGTCATACTGCTTTCTCTCCCAATACAGCAACATTCTCGGGTGTATTCTGCACCCTCTGCTTGGAAAGGTCTTCATCCCAAGCTGTCTTTTTGTCTGTCTTCTGTATCTTGTCAGTACAGATAGTTGTGAGCCACCATGTGGTTGCTGGGAATTGAACTCAGGACCTCTGGAAGAGCAGTCGGTTCTCTTAACCTCTGAGCCATCTCTCCAGCCCCATCACAGTATCTCATTCAGGTTTTGCCTGAGATATTCATTCCCAGTGAGATCTTTCTTAATCTCCTTGTTTAAAAATGCACCCCCCCCCCCCCCGCCCAAATTCACTGTGCTTATTTCTTAGGGTGGCATTCAAAACATACTGCAAATTGAGAAGCTTACAACAGAAATGCTTTTTTGTCTGGTGGCTCTGGAGACTGTCACTCTGAAATCTGGACCATGCCCCCCCCCCCGGGGGGGGGGGATCTCCCAGGGAGTGCCTGGGGGTGGGGTTGCCTCTTGCTGGCTTCTTGTGGCTTGCTAGCAAACAGCATCATTTGCCTTGCAGCAGCCTCACACTAGTCCCTGTCATCACGGGGTATTCTCCTGCTTTGTGGCTTTCTTCACAAGGTATTCCTCTTAGATGTAAACACGCCTACTAGATTTAGTCCATCCTACTCCAGGGTGACACCATCTCAGCCTTTGTCTTCAACTACTCTACTTCACTCTCTGGACTGGAAAATAGGAATTCTGTATCTCCCTTCCTCCCTCCCTCCCTCCCTCCCTCCCTCCCTCCCTCCCTCCAGGGCTCTACCTTGGGCAGGGAAGAGGGAGGCAACAACAAGTCCAGAAGACTCAGTGTCATATAATCCACGCAGGAACTTGCCATCCTTGCTTTATCTGTCTGTTTTCCCTTAGAAGGAGGATATCTGTAGAATGTGAAGTTATTGTGTTCAGTGCTATAGAGAACACTTGCTAGGAACTCTGCAGTCTGTAAGTGTTTGCTGATGATGGATGACTGATTTCAGTCACAGTATGAGCAGAGCAAGTAACATGATAAGGAACAAAATAATTGGATTTTAAAAGAGGAAATAATGACCCTTATACAAAAATCACAGAAAATGAACTAGTGTCTGTGACTATAGCATTTTTTATTTAAAAAAAGGGCCTAAGAAGGAAAAGCCGAGGTGGAGATTACAGCAGAGAGGGGGTGACCGGTTGGGGATGTCACTGAGTCATTTGTGGGCAGCAGAGTCTGTTGACCTCTTAGTCACCTTCACATACTGAAAAACATCCTGTTCTAAACGCGTCCCTCGTATTACTATGCCCGTTTGACAGGGGTAGAATGAAAAGATCAGGTAGACTGTGCAGCTGTGTAGGACCTGTTTTGCAGCTGTTCGAAATGCCTGTTCTCCTTTGTGCTGGCTAGTTTATGTCAACTTGACACGAGCTACAATCATCCAGAGGAGAGGGACATATCCATAAGACCCGTAAGATCTGGCTGTAGGCGAGCCTATACGGCATTTTCTTGATTTGTGACTCATGTGGGAGGACCCAGCCTGTTGTGGGTGGGGCCACCCCAGGGTTGATAGCAGGCCAACAAATTATGAGGAGCAAGCTAGTACACAGCACTCCTCCTAGTCTCTCCATTAGTTAATGCCTTTCGGTTCCTACCCTGCTTCAGTTCTGGCCCTGATTTTCCTCAGTATAAGATGAAATGAAGCTTTTCTTCCCCAAGTTGATTTTGGTCATGGTGTTTTATCACAGCAATAGAAACCCTAATAAGACATCTTACTTGTAATCAATTGCAGTTGGTACTAGTATTTCAAACGAGAGGAAGTTAAATGATCCACAAGTGACTCTTCAGTGGATTTGACTTCCACAAAGCTAGAGAAGTATTCTCCTGACTATAATCTGGGTCAACCTCATTGTTTTGCACAATAGAAATTCCAGTATTAGGACTGTCTAATTTGTGAGGAGGCCAGATGGTGCATTTAGGAATGCCCAGGGGTGGGAATCAGATATGGACAGCTAAAGCACCATTCCAACCCTGCCTTTGTGTGGTACTACGTGACTCGCTATCACTCCTCTGAGCCATATTCTCCTGTAATGACGATGGTTGTTGAAGCTGCATATTCCTTTCTAGACCTTTCACCAGTTCCTGATGCAGCCACACCAGTTCAGTGTTCTTCATGACTGTTTTCATGATGTGCTGTCTAGAAGCCGTCCAGCTTGCTGCTGAGTGATTATCTGAACTTCTTCTTCTAGGTAGGTGTCCTGGGACAGCTTGCTCGGTCACTCCTCTCCAAAAACTCTTCGTCTTGCACTGAGGACACCAAGGAGGCAGCACTCATCTGTAAGGTAGTGTTTGCTTAATTTTATTTCTTTTTAAAAAGTGTGATAAATTGACTTACGGTGGGGATGTCCTTACGGCATTAGTCACGTTCTTTTGCATATAAATAGAACTTTTGTGATGGTGTTTACTGCTAGATTTCCTTAGAGAACCTACCCTCTCTCTGCTTCTATTTGTAGCTGCCATTTTAAAATAGGAATATAAATATTATGTCAGCTAAATAAAAGAAAGATGGGTTGCCTTTCTGAAGGATAGTGTTGCCCCCCTTCCTATGAAGTAAAGGTGAACTGTTAACCGATTGACATGCCATTAATTGTTCTTCACTCATTTTGTAGGCACACATATTTAATAATTTTTATGTATGAAAAGAAAGGTTAAATAGTCATAAAGTCACATTGTAATGCCTTGTGTGACTTTGACGATGATGGCAGGATTGAAATGAAATGAAATTAGTAGCAGCAGGAGGAGGCCTCTGTCAAGGGACCCATGTCCTGAAGGAGTGAGTGGAGGGTTCATCTTGCTCAGAGGAGGATCTGCTGCTACAGAATAGGATAGTGAATGAACAACCTTTCAGGAGACTAGAGTCAGCCCTTCCCTTTATACCTCAGGGTTTTCACCTACTCAGTCAAATATGCAACTTAGAAAAACAGCTGAAGGAGAAGAAATGAACTCAGGGTGCTCAGAAGACAGTCTTCCACGTCATCCAGTCAGGCCTTCCAGAAGGGCCGGCAATGCCTTCACGCTGACTTTTCTCACATGCCTTCCTTCCCCACGGCAGTCCGTAGGGACCAGAAGCACTTTCCCTAAAACCAGTCAGAAAACCGAAGGAAGTTGCAGTATAATTTTCCCCCGTGCTGTGTGTAGGATTGGCCATTCAGAGAGTCTCTGACCCACCTGGTCTGCCAGTGGTCGTAAAACTCATTCTAGAAGGAATGTACTCCAGAGCTAGGTCAACAGAAGATACAGGAAAGTGGAGAAGTTACTGAGTCCCTAGGCCTTGCTCAGTTCTTCTCAGTCTGGTAGGTCTCAAACCAGTAGGCTATGTCTTTTTGTCCAGTCACATTCCTACATGAATGCCCATTTTGTTTTGAATCTAAGCATAAGAAATGGGGTTTTCCTGTCCTTGGTTTCTATTTCCAAAGTCTCTCATATCACATAAAACTTTGTATGTCAGACTTTCCACTTGTTAACCTCTATTTTGTTATAGGGATGTTATGTGTGTGTGATACTTGTTATGGATGAGAAAAGGTCTCTCTCTCTCTCTCTCTCTCTCTCTCTCTCTCTCTCTCTCTCTCTCTCTCTCACACACACACACACACACACACACACACAGATGTACACTGACAGGCATGTGCTTTGGCCCCAGAATTCTAATCTAGTCATTTCCCAGAATGTGGTTAATGAGTTACTCTGTTCTATCTATTTGAGTTTTTATTAATTAATTTATTTACTTATAATTAATTTATTTACTTAAGTTATTTATAGACAGGGCTCTTCTATATAAACTGAACTGACTTCAAACATGCCTGGCCTTGAGCTCATCATCTGCCTGGACTCTAGGGTCTCAGATGTGTGCGACTCTTGGCAGGCTCTGCTCAGTTAACCTTGCTTTCTTAAACACTCTTGTTCCCCTCCGTCGTTCCTTCTCGTGCTTCATTCTTTAACAATATCCCCATGTCTGTATTGACAAAGTGTGGTGTGTGTGTGTGTGTGTGTGTGTGTGTGTGTGTGTGTGTGTGTGTAAATCGAACAGCTCTATGAACCAAAACACAAAGACACCACCCACCTTATCTTGTTCCCAGCTAACTCTGTCTGCTATATCCACTTTATTTTGTGCATCTATTTGTCCTTGGCTCTGCCTGCCTTCCCATCATTTCACAATCCTTTGAAACCCTCAAGTTTATGCAAAGTTTATCAACTTGGGCAGAACTACCTATAGAGTGTGTATTGCTGTTGGACATTGTCTTGTCTTCTAAATGCACTCACTGAATACATGTAGGGTGGGATGGACTCCCATTTTCACATCCTGATGAATCTGACTGACTTCTCCTTGGTAGATTCTCTGTCTGTCTAGGGAGCTTACCTTCCAAACAGGAAAGTAATGCAGTGAGTTGACATGGAGAACTGGCATTGCATGCTTCCTTGCCATGAATCTTTGAGTATAGCCACTCAGCCTTCAGCATTTTTGTTCTGTTTGGCATTTTAACCCTAGAAATAAGGCTCTTGCAAATGAAAGCCTGCAATAATTTGTAAGAGTAATTAAAAGTGAGTGATTTTTCAAGTTTTCGAGACCTCACTTATTCCTCTGTGCTTAGAAAGACTTCTCTTTTTCTTCTAACAATAAAAGACAGTGCCCAATAATTTCAAGTACCCTCTTTTGCTGGTTTTGCATGATTTTTGCTATTTGCTGTTTGATCTTAGCCTGCTTAACCTCTCTGAACTCTGGTTTCTTCCTCTATGAAATGAGACTAATCTTAGGAATTGTTTCACAGAATGGTTATGAAAGATTAAAAGATAATTTATGTAAAGTGGTTAGGAAGATGCCTTCCATGAAGAAGCTTTCAAGTCATGGAACTCATAATTACTCATGGTCAGGACATGGATGTCCCAATTACCCATGAAAGTAGATGTGCACTTACTGTACTTAGTGTTGAAGGACTTTCAATATTTTCTTTCTTTTAGAATATTATCTATAACTGTCAATGTGGCAGATGTAGAGATGTCTAAGGCCACACAAGTAACACGGTGCCAAGTGCACAGGGTTACTCCTTGGAGGAATAGTTGATACAGAACTCATTGCTTTGAGAGTAAATGCTGCCATGTCTGTGTGATGTTTTAGTGTGTAACTGTAAGTTGTGAGTTTAGTTCAGTCTCCTCGTGTGCTTGGCAAGATGGTCAAGGGAGCCCCAGGCTTGACTTCTGTTTCTTCTTAGTACTAAAACTAGGTATTTCTAGACTGGGTCAAGTTAAGGAATCCTTAGGAAATACAAGAGAATATTTCCTCCATGTTTTCTCTCCACAGTTCTCTGCACTCTGCAGTGTGGTCTGCACCCCCATATCTGGTGTGGCCAAGCTCTACCAGCCCAGACCTGGCCAGAGGTATCAAATATAGAATAAGCCGCCCTCAGCTGTTACCTGAAGGCAGGAAGAAAAAGTACATAGGATGATGCTTTGCAGAGCTGCGGTTCAAAACTTGAAAGCCGAGTTCCCATTTTACACTGTTAGTATGAAAGTTGGCTGAAGTTAATATCTGTCGGCTGACTGACTAATTAGAAACTGCCCTTTAGTCTTGACCAACAAAGCTACAAAGCTGGAAGCAATTACAGCCACTGGGGTGTGTGCTTTCAGACCTGAGGAGGCAAGAGGTGGAAAGAAGCTCCTAGTTCTGGGTGCAAGCAGTTCTCCGATTTGGGGGTAGTTCCTGACCAGGCTTGTAAGGAGCAGGCAGGTGAGCACAGTTTCAAAAGTGAAAGCGCCAGCTGGAGCGCGGCACCTGCTTTTCATCTCAGCATTCAGGGACAGGTGGATTGCTCTGAGTTTGAGGTCAACCTGGTTTCCATAGGAATTCCAAGCCAGGACCTGAAATGCTCAAGACAGAGAAATATATTGGAATTGCAAATATAGATGACTCCTTTTCCATCTTATATTTTTCAGAATATATAGAACAAGAATGACAACATTGTCCCATGGGGATCATGATGTAATATGAGTAGCTGCAATCCACACAACAATTACAGCATCAGAAGTGGGGGTGGTAAATGGACTTATGTGGGTGCAACACTTTCAAATTTCATGTGAGATATTATAAAAGTAACCCAAATAATGACCAAGAGTATATATTTCAGTTCCTAGAACAACTAGTATGAAAAGTGGTCAAATGATAAACTATAGTCTCACTTTTTTTAAAGACAGGATCTCACTATAGAGTTTTAGCTGACCTGAAATTTAATGTGTACACCAGGCTGGCCTTGAGCTCACAGAGAAACTCTTGTCTTGCTTTTTTAACAACAACACAACAATATTGGAAAGGAGAAACAGGGGAACAAAAAACAGAGACTCAAACAATGCAAATTAGTGAAACTGCAACAGCCATTATATTGTTAGTGGACTCTGTGCATTTTAGTTAGAAGGGAAAGACATCAGAATGTATTAAAAATCATGAATAACAACACTGTATTGAGAGATAATCTTTATCTATAAAGATACTCATAGGTTTAAAGGAAACTGGTGGGAAAAAGAAAGCTGTAGAAATGGTAGAAGACATGTGGAGTGCCTTCCTGAATATCAGACAAATGAAACTCTAGGACAAGTGGATTACCAGAGAGAAAGTGCTTTGCAATAACAAAAGACTCAATGTATTAAGAAGGCATAACAGAGCTGGGCGGTGGTGGCGCACACCTTTAATCCCAGCACTCGGGAGGCAGAAGCAGGTAGATCTCTATGAGTTCGATGCCAACATGGTCTACAAAGTGAGTTCCAGGAAAGATGCAAAACTACACAGAGAAACCCTGTCTTGGAAAAAGAAGGAGGAGGAGGAGGAGGAGGAGGAGGAGGAGACTGCTGTGGGGTGGTCTGTATGTCAAATTGCTCTGATTGGTCAATAAACAAAACACTGATTGGCCAGTGGTTAGGCAGGAAGTATAGGCAGGACTAACAGAGAGGAGAAAAGAAAGAACAAGAAGGTGGAAGGAGACACTGCCAGCCACCGCCATGACAAGCAGCATGTGAAGATGCCGGTAAGCCACAAGCCATGTGGCAAGGTATAGATTTATGGAAATGGATTAATTTAAGCTATAAGAACAGTTAGCAAGAAGCCTGCCATGGCCATAGAGTTTGTAACCAATATAAGTCTCTGTGTTTGCTTGGTTGGGTCTGAGCTGCTGTGGGACTGGTGGGTGACAGAGATTTGTCCTGACTGTGGGCAAGGCAGGAAAACTCTAGCTACAGAAGACATAAGAGTTATTGGTGAATATGTACCTAGTAAAATTCCAAGTGAAATCTGTAAATC